TGTTTCCAGTTTGGGGTATCACGAATAAGGCTTCTATGAGCATTTGTGTGCAAATCTTTGTGTGGCGAGCACCTGTTCTCATTCCTCATTAGTAATGACAAGAATTAGAATTTCTGGGATGTAGGTTAAACAATGTTCCACTTTCTAAGAAGCTGGGCGTGGTGGCTCATGCCTGTAATCCCAGCACTTTGGGAGGCCGAGGCGGATGGAACACTTGAGGTCAGGAGTTGGAGATTAGCCTGGCCAACATGGTGAAACATCTTTTCTAAAAATACAAAAATTAGCTGGGCGTGGTGGTGGGCACCTGTAATCCCAGCTACTTGGGCATGACAATTGCTTGAACCCAGGAGGAAGAGGCTGCAATGAGCAGACACAGTGCCACTGTGCTCCAGCCTGGGCAACAGAGTGAGACCGTGTCCAAAAAAAAAAAAAAAAGAAAAAAAAAAACACTTCATAAAAAACTGTCAAGCTGTTTTCCTAAGTGGCTGTAGTTTTTCTGCATTTCTACCAGCAATGTGTGAGAGTTTCATTGCTCTACATCCTTGCCAACACTCGGTATTTGGGTGGTTTATAAGATCTAGCCATTCTAGAGGTGTGAAGCACACATCTCCGCCTCATCTATTCCTTACAGTAACTCTTTGGAAACATAAATTATTTGTAGTGGATTAAGAATGGCCACAAGCTCCTTAATTCCTTCCGTGAAGGGGTAAAATCTGTATTCTCTCCCCTTGATTCTCACTGGGCTGTGTGACTGCTTTGACCAATAAACTACAACAGAAGTGACACTGTGTTAATTTCCATACTCAGGCCTCAAGACATGAGGCAGCTTCCCCTCCAGCCCATTGGATCGCTTGCTCTGGGGAGGCCAGACAGCCATGCTGTGAGGAAGCCCACGCCAGCTACATAGAGAGCATGCATGGGGGCAATTTATGCCAACCAGTCCCAGCCATCCCAGCCCAGGTACCAGACAAGTGATGAAGAAGTCAGCTTCGACTCCGATGAGCTGAGTCCTCTGTGACGTGCTCTAGCCCACAGAATAAATGGGTGGTTGTTTTACATCACTAAATTTTCGGGTAGTGTGACACAGCAATAGATAATCAGAACCATTATCTTCATTTTACAGAGGAAAAAATAAAGGTTCAGAGAGGTAACGTGACGCGCCCCTGGCCCCACAGTGGGAGAAATCAGAACGTGAAGTGCCAACAATTGGCATTATATCAGATGTCAAATAAGGTCCCAGAACAGAGGGGTGAGTTTCAGTGACAGAGACCGGTTAGGTCAGGCTAGTGGAAGAACTAATAAGACAGTCAGGAAGCTGGACTTTGATTTCTAATAGCCCAATTTTATCAGAAGGGAAGTGGCCTGGCTTCTCTTGGACCTGTAAATTGATCAATCTGTGTTTCTGACGGCTGAGGCAGGGACCTGGGGGAACAGTGGCCCATGGTGTGACATCACCTGCCCCTAGAGGATCCTAATCATCCCTAGCGTAGACTTCAAAGCAGCTCTTAAAGAGAAAAAGCGGCCTCAAGCTCGGGCTGATCACCAGACATCTCTCTCTGCACTCATGCAGCCCCACAGCACACAGCAGACATACCAGATAAACCAAGTGTGAGCCTCTAGGAGCTGAGAGGGTTTCTAGAATATAAATGGCATCGGCACAGAATGCCCTTGTAAGGGCTGCGAACTCAAACACCCCCAGGGTTCCCAAAAGCATCACATACCTGCAGAGCTGGCTGGGCACATTCTGTCAACACAGACACATGGGAAGAGCCTTGGCTTCCAAAAGGATGCATGTTCTCTTCCATTTCTTGACCATGGGATCCTCTTGGTCTGGCTTTATTTTCCCACTTTCAGTAGGGTCAAAAGGACAGAGAAACAAGGCCGGGTGTGGTGGCTCACGCCTATAATCCCAGCACTTTGGGAGGCCAAAGTGGGCAGATCACGAGGTCAGGAGTTCAAGACCAGCCAGACCAACACGGTGAAACGCCATCTCTACTAAAAATACAAAACAATTAGCTGGGTGTGCTGGCACGTGCCTGTAAGCTACACAGGAGGCTGAGGCAGGAGAATTGCTTGAACACGGGCGGCAGTGGTTGCAGTGAGCTGAGATTGTGCCCCTGCACTACTCCAGCCTAGGAGACAGAGTGAGACTCCATGCCAAAAAAAAAAAAAAAAAAGAACAGAGAAACATCATCTATGAGAAATACACGAGCATGTGGTGGCTGTGGAGTCAGGGAGGGTCCCCGGGAGCAGCCGGCACTGTAACACGCTGGAAAGCACACTCGCTGCCCACAGCGGTCGGTCGCCCGCTTGCCACGTGACACAGTGGCCAATGCTTGGCTAGGAAGGAACGAGCACCCCAGGAGGGCCAGATCTTTGCTTTTCTGAGAGAAGCCAGAACTCTAGATTTTTCACATGAAATTCTAAAAATATCACAAGCTAGTGCTCATTTTTTCCTCCAAGAAACATCAAATTATCTGCAGGCAGGATTAGACCTGTGGGTCATCTGTGTGTGGCCTCAGGATTAAATCTTTCCAAGAAGCATCTCCAGGCTTCGAGTTAGGAGGATCTGCCCGATGCTGCCTGCCATCGTGAGTCTCCTGGCAACACACACACACACGTCCCACCACAGGAAGCTGCAACGGTTTTTCAGGGCTGGGCCACGTGGGTCTCTCTCCACCTGTCCACGCGGACTCCTGTCCCCAGCCCTCTTCAGGCTGCTGCTGGGTCTCATTTCACAGAATGCCCATGTGGATGGTAGACTGGGATTTGAGAACAAAGGTGTCTCTGGAGCATCCATCCACACCACCCTCCCAACCTGCCTTCCCTGCCTGCAGCCACGATGCTCCACGCGGTTCCCACCACACCACATCCCTGGCCTCCCCGCCTTCGCCCAGGCTGGTCCCTCAGCCAAAATGCCCTCCTTCCCTATCTGTTGAATTCTCTGTTTCTCCTTCCAGCCCCAGATTCGTCACCACCTGTTCTGTGAAGCCTTCCCAATTTCCTAGGCAGGACTTACACCCCCGGCTCCAAAAGCCCTTCACACCTTGACCTGACTTTCGCAACAGCACTGTAGCATGGGATGGCAGCAACGGGTACCCAAATCAGTCTCCCCACATAGACTGGGGCTTGGTGGGGATGGAGATGGACTGAACTCTCTTTGCAAACTCCAGCTCATCACGGGGCCCATTCATGAGAAAGTGCCCAATGCGGCCGGGCATGGTAGCTCATGCCTGTAATCCCAGCACTTTGGGAGGCTGAGGCGAGAGGATTGCTTGAGACCAGGAGTTCGAGACCAGCCTGGCCAACATGATGAAACCCCATCTCTACTAAGAAAAAAAAAAAAAAAAATTAGCCAGGTGTGGTGGCACCTGCTTGTAATCCCAGCTACCTGGGAGACTGAGGCAGGAGAATCACTTGAACACTCCAGCTTGGGGGACAGAGAGAGACTCTGTCGAAAGAAAGAAAGAAAAAGAAAAGAAAGGAAAGAACTCAATGCTTGGTGGTAAAGAAAGGACAACCCAGGCTGTTAAAAGCCTGTCTTGTTACCCAGCTCCCACCTGGACCCACATCTGAACTTAAAAATTGACTCAAGAGAAGAAACAACATAGGTTTTCTTGAGACCACTGCTATGACCCCAGAGGCGGGGCCAAGGTCCGCTGAATACGGAGGGATAACTTGGTACCTGCTCTCTTGGGTGGCTTTGAGTAGTGCCAGGCACAAAGGAAGGTGATCAATGAATGTCTGGGGCCGTGGTTACTATTACTCCCTTGGGTTCTCACAAACGCTCTCAGGGTCCAGACACGGTGCTTCTCAGGGACACAACGGACGCCACTGGGCGCAGGTGGGCAGGCTTCCTCCACTCTGGGGAGACTCAGGGCCTGATCACAATATGGAGCTCTACCCTTTGGGCTTCCAGGCAGACACCTCAAGCCCAGGTTGCTGGCTTGCCTCTAATAAGCTTGGGAGCTTCTAGAAAATTCTATCAATGCTCATGGGGGCTCCACACTTGGCTGGCAACAATCCTGGGGGGGTACTGGGACCTAGAAGCAATTTCTTTCTTTCTTTCTTTTGAGACATAGTCTCGCTCTATCACCCAGGCTGGAGTGCAGTGGTGTGATCTCGGCTCACTGCAACCTCTGCCTTCCGGGTTCACGCAATTCTCCTGCCTCAGTCTCCTCAGTAGCTGGGACTACAGGCACCCGTCATCACACCTGGCTAATTTTTGTATTGTTGGTAGAGATGGGGTTTCACCATGTTGGTCAGGCTGGTCTTGAACTCCTGACTTCAGGTGATCCACCCGCCTCAGACTCCCAGAGTGCTGGGAATATGGGTGTGAGCCGCCACGCCCGCCTCTAGACGTGATCTGTAGAGACTCTGGCATGGGAGGCCTTGGTCTTCCGGGCCATTGTCTTCCATCTTCCTCCCCAGTCAGGTGAGGGGATTTGGGCCAAGCAGACAGAGCAGGAGGGAGAAGCAGAGAGAGCGGCAGGATTCAGGAAGGCACTCAATGCCCAGCGCCACGACGGTCTGCGGCCTGAGCAAGTGCCTCCTCCTAGGCCTCGCAGGCCTGAAGCCATTTCCTGGCTGTCTCCACCTTTGCACAGCGGACAGCGCGGAGCTGAGGAAAGTTAAATATAGTCCAGCGTCCCCGCTGAACGGCTCCCTGCATCGGTGCCCGAGAGTGCCACCTTGTGGTCCACTCCTGGCTCCTCTGCGGAATAAAAACCATCTCGGGGGAAGGGCGAGATCAAGATGGCCGCCTCAGGAAGCACTTGGGGTTGAGTGAGAGAGAGAGAGAGAGAAAAAGAGAGAGAGAGAGAGAGAGAGAGAGAGAGGAGGGAGTGTGTGCACGTGGCTTTCCTCTCACCGCTGGCCGCTGCCCCATTCCTTCTGGTTGCTAACTCACCACCAAAATGGCTTCCCCAGAAAACTCCAGCAAGGGCCTGAAGCCTGGCCTGGGCCTAAATCCAGCCCTCCCAGGCCAGGCAGCCACTTACCAGGTGGGTCAGGCTGCAGAACTCCTCCAGCCTGAGGAGCATGCCCTCGATGGTCTCCTCCACCTCCTTCGCCTGAAAAAGAGACGATATCCTGGAGATTAGCAAGTGGTTTCCAGGGAGACAAACACCCTTCATATTTTTTTAAAGCAAGCTAAGTCTTAGGATTATGTGCCCAGCTCCTGCTCGACCCCCTTCCACTGCCTCATTTGAAAGAGCAATAAACGGGCAGCAGTCCTGGTGCCCATCGCAGAGGACTGGTTAAAGCCACCACGGCCTCTCCACTCTCCACAGCTTCCAAAAGGGACAAGATCAACAAATACAGGAAATAACAAAGCTACCCTTGTCCTCCACATTGTCCAGATGAGGACATGGAGGCTCAGAGAGGTAACCTGCTCAAGGTCACACAGTTAACAAACGCAGGGCCAGGATCCGAATCCAGATGGAGTCCACAGCCTCACAGCCTGCTCTGATAAACACAGTGTCCCCAGTGACACCCTGGAGAGGAAAAGCAAGCTGCAGACAGTATCGGATACAAACCATGCCAAAAAATGTCCTAGGCGGGCGATCAGCTGAGGTCAGGAGTTCGAGACCAGCCTGGCCAACATGGCAAAACCCTGTCTATACTAAAAATACAAAAATTAGCCAGGCATGGTGGCAAGTCCCCATAGTCACAGCTACTCTGAGGCTGACGCAGGAGGACTGCTTGAACCTGGGAGGTGGAGGCTGCAGTGAGCCGAGATCGGGCCACTGCACTCCAGCCCAGGCAACAGAGAAAGACTCCATAAAAAAATAAATAAATAAATTCCAGTTTCAGTTTTCCGCAATTAAAAAAAAAAACGTACCTGGCTCCACAGAGAAAGGCCTGGAATGATATGTGCCAAACTGCTGATAGTTAAGGGATGTGCTTATACTAAAAAAATTATTTGTTGTTTATCTGAAATTCAAATCCAACCAGGTGTCCTAGAGTTTCTTTAGAAACCTATTAATAGGGTTTACTAAGCCCTGGGGAGTCGGAATTAGGAAAGGGACTCAGACAAGGGAAACTTGAATTGTTTATGTTATGTAAAGGGTCCATGGCCAGGCACAGTGGCTTATGCCTATAATCCCAACATTTTGGGAGGCCGAGGCAGGAGGATCACTTGAGACCAGGAATTCGAGACCAGTCTGGGCAACATGGGGAGACTCCATCCCTTTAACAACAACAAAAAAAATTAGGCTGGGCTCAGTGGCTCACACCTGTAATCCCAGCACTTTGGGAGGCTGAGGCAGGTGGATCATAAGGTCAGTAGTTCGAGACCAGCCTGGACATTATGGTGAAACCCTGTCTCTACTAAAAGTACAAAAATTAGCTGGGCGTGGTGGTGTGTGCCTGTAGTCCTGCCTACTCAGGAGGCTGAGGCAGGACAATCGCTTGAACCTGGGAGACAGAGGTTGCAGTGAGTAAAGATCAGACCACTGTACTCCAGCCTGGGTGACAGAGTGAGACTCAGAAAAAAAAAAAATTAGCCAGGCTTGGTGGTGTGTGTCTGCAGTCCAGCTACTCAGGAGGCTGAGGCTGCAGTGGGCTGTGATCACACCACTAGGCTGGGTGCACTCTAGGCTGGGTGACAGAGTGAGAACTTGTCTTTAAAAAAAAGAAAAGAAAAAAAATAAACCCAGTTATCAGGCTGGACAAGAACATAAATGAACGAAGCAGGCCATCGGTCTTGTCGTGATCTGAGAGGTGCCCATCCAGTCCTCCAGCTGCTGGCCACTAGCCGCCATGAGGAAACACAGGCCTGGGGCTGCCAGATCTTTCCATCTTCCAAGAGAAGTCAGAAATTCTAATTTAATAGGCAATGTCCCAATGTTTAAACACTGGAACACATTTTTTAAAAAACAAACCTTTAATGCTTCACAAATGAAGCCAATCACGAACATGCAAAGGGCCTGCCAGTATACAACTGTTTTATGCACTTATGTAAAAATTAGGGGCTTGGCTGGGTGCAGTGGCTCATGCCTAGAATCCCAGCATGTTGGAGGTCGAGGCAGGTAGATCACCTGAGGTCAGGAGTTTGAGACTAGCCTGACCAACATGGCAAAACCCCGTCTCTACTGAAAATACAAAAATTAGCCGGACATAGTGGCACACATCTGTAGTCTCACCTGCTCAGAAGGCTGAAGCAGGAGGACTGCTTGAACCCGGAAGACGGAGGTTGTGGTGAGCAGAGATCAAGCCACTGCACTCTAGCCTGGGAGACAGAGCAAGACTCCATCTCAAAAAAAAAAAAAAAAAAAAAAAATTAGGTCTTTCTTTTCCCGCAAGTATGTACTACTTTTACGACTTCTAAAATACCAGTTTCTGTAGTTATTTTTGTAATGGCCAGGCATTCAGGCAGAAAGTTCACCAGTACGTGATCCGCTTTCCCTGCCTACCAGGCCACACCGTCCTGCGCCAGCGAGGCATGCTTAGGATTTCTGGGCAGGCCTAGTCCCCGCCCCCTGCACCTGAAGGCTCCCTCGCCACCCACTTGTCCCCAGAGAACTGTTTATACAGCACCAGTTCCTGCTGCCTCCAGCATGAGCCATCTCCACCACAACAAAATAAACGACTGCGCAAAAAAACATCTTTCAGGCTGGAGTATAAATAGTACCAAGTTGCAATTTTAAACCCTGCAACCTTCATCTCACAGCTGGGACTATTTCTGTGCCTCAATGAGGGAGACGGGCGGGAAGACTGGGAAAAAGAGAGATCATCCCCCCACCCAAGTTAAATTACAATGAGAAAATATCATTATCACCCCAAGGGAGAAAGGATGAAGCCAAGAGGTCACCGTGGTGGGAGAAGGGGAAGTTTGGTTGTTCTTTCTGACCCAGGGGAAAGAGAAAGAGAGGAGAGGAGCGGGGTGCAGCAGGTGACAGAGATCCTGGGAGCGCAGGTGCATGCAACACAGACCCGGGTCCAGACACGCTTAGCAACACACAAACTGCGTGGGAGGCCGTGGGAGCCCACGCCCCAGCTGGGTGGGATGCCTCCTTCCCAAGATGTCTCTGCAGCGCTGTGCTTATGGGAAGCGCATTGCAACCCATCCTGGCCCGCTCAGGAAGAGCATGGCATGGTCACGGCACTGCTGGGTTCACCTTCCCCTCTGCCAGCTGTGCGGCTGGAACCCAATGGCTTCACTTCTGCATTTCACTGCTGCTGGCTGTCCTGTGACAGGAACCATCATGCCCTTTCGGCAGAATGGTCAGGAGGTTAACCTGACGTCCTAAATGTGGCTAACTCATTTAATGAATGCTGACACATGGCAGGTGCATCATGAGGGGTTGCTTTCCATAGCTAGCTCTTTTTTGTATTTTAATTTTTGTAGAGACAGGGGTCTCACTATGTTGCCCAGGCTGGTCTCGAACTCCTGGCCTCATGCAATCCTCCTGCCTCAGCCTCCCGAAGTGCTGAGATTATAAGCATGAGCCACTGCACCCACCCAATCTCTCTTACCATAGAATAAAAACAAGGGCTAATCACTGTATCAGAATTACCTCATTTATTTCTCACAAGAGCTCTATGCGGCAGGTACTACTATTTCCCTCATTTTATGGATTGAGAAACAGAGGATCAGAGAGGTTAAGTCTCTTATTCAAGGTCACACAGCTAATAAATACCAAAGCCAGAATTTGACCCTGAGCACTCTAACTCCAGAACTAGAATGTATAACCAGATGTTCACTGGGGCCGGATACAGTGGCTCATGCCTATAATCCCAACACCGGGAGGCTAAGACTGGAGGGTCGCTTGAGCCCAGGAATTACAGTCCAGCTTTGGCAACAGGGGGAGAGTTTGTCTCTAAAAAACAAAACAAAACAAAACAAAAAACTATCTGGGCATAATGGTGTCTGCCTATGTGGTCTTAGCTACTTGAGAGGCTGAGGCAGGAGGGTCACTTGGGCCCAGGAGGTCGAGGCTACAGTGAGCTGTGATGGGCCACTGCACTCCTGGGTGACAGAACAAGACTGTCTCAAAACGAAGACAAGATGGCTTTGGGGAGGTTGGAAACGCATCCCCTCAGCCGGGCGCGGTGGCTCACGCCTGTAATCCCAGCACTTTGGGAGGCTGAGGTGGGTGGATCACGGGGTCAGGAGATTGAGACCATCCTGGCTAACACAGTGAAACCCTGTCTCTACTAAAAATACAAAAAAATTAGCCGGGTGTGGCAGGGCAGGCGCCTGTAATCTCAGCTACACGGGAGGCTGAGGCAGGAGAACCGCTTGAACCTGGGAGGCGGAGGTTGCAGTGAGCTGCGATCGCGCCACTGTACTCCAGCCTGGACGACAGAGCAGGACTTCTCTCAAAAAAAAACAAAGAAAAAGAAATATGTCCCCTTCGTTGCTGCTCGTCAGTTATGGTCAGTCCCCCACCTCACCCCGGGTACCTAAGGAGGTTCCCAAAAGCAGGAGGGACCTAGAGAGCCTTTGCTGACTGTGGTTCACCCAACTAACAGGAAGGCGCTCAGGATCAGCCAGCCCACCATGCCCACAAATCACTCACGGGACACTTTTCTCACAGGATCATCCCCTAAGTGGCCTCAGAAACGAGAGTCCCCAAGCTACAGCCCACGTGCCTTTGTGACAGCCTGTGAGCAAATGAATGTCCTTGCTGTTCTCTGCGGCTCCCTGGGCAGAAACGGCTTCACTCAGAGGGGAGGAGGTGAGAGGCTGACTTTAAGTGACATTCAGAAACAGCCCGGTGGAGATGGCGAGTGGGTTTTTTTTTTTTTAAACACCTGGGAATCACGGTTTTCACTTTCTTTTCCCACATCCCCCCGTCTCACAATGGCAATACTAGCTTCCCAGCTGGGAATGCCCGGAAAACGGAGAGGGGCTGGCCCCGCTCACCAAGAGACTAGCACAAAAAAAAAAACACACACACACAAAAAGATCCTCCACCCATGATCCTCTCTAACTCCACAAAGGGAAACTCCATCATCCCCTTGCTCCGGCCAAATACTTCCGAGCACCCTGGACTCTTCTCTCCCACCTCCCACCGCATCCAATCTGCCAGCAAATCTTCTCACTTCAGCCTTCAAAATGTCTCTC